ACTTCTGGCATGGCCTACTCTTAGCTGGGCATCCGGAGAACCAGAAACGTCGAACTCCTTCTCAGCTTGGAAGACCCTGCTGGAGGATATACCTCCGCTGTACTTCGCAGTTCGACACCCAGAGTCACCCCCGCTCCACGATGAGGCGGTAAACCATCACGGGGGAATTAAATATAACTTATTCAAATATACAGAATAAGAAATTTTTTGAGGAATACTGATTAAGCATCTACGTTATAGAGCGATCATAAGGTAATGTCATTAGAAGCTCAAGTTGCTTAATACTACTTTTAAAATTAAGAAAAGAAATCTGAATAAGGTGGTGAAGTGAAGAATGTATTCTCAAGACATTTGACATCGTATATGTAACTATCCTAGTGCTCTTATCTCTTTCCTTAGTCATTTTTGAGTAAGCACAGAGTGCGAATTCCTTCTCTCAATCCATTTAGAATCAGCATTGAGCATCTAAGCTCCTTACGATATCACGTTATGACAATAATGTAAAAGTAGTGAAATTGTTTCTGGCATTCCTATCTCCTCTTTCAGACCGTTTAGCAAGCATGGGTCACTTGCTCTGAACTTGTTTATAATAGACAGGACCTACATCTTACGACATCACCTAGTAGATTCATTTTGAGTCAACCCGTTTCTTCATTGCTAAAAACCACCAGCAACGAGGGAAAGCGCTAAAAACTAGTTTACTGAGGAAAGTTATATGAATCAATTAGTGCAAATGACGAATAAGAAGAAACCTTGTGCAATGAATATTACTAGTCGAAAAGGAGCAACTAAAGAAAAGGAATAAAAGTTGGAATGGGACGAGGAAGAAAGAGGACGTTGGCCTTGATATAGTTGTAATATTGAGAAGAGATTTTTATTGCTTGGTAAATTATTGTCTGTTGTTGATCAAGATGCACGACTTCCGCACAACTTCGGTGAGACAAGCGTATATTAAATAGGTAGCTATCCATTCACTCGTCATTACAATGGTTGCAAGGCTTTGAATTCAAAAATGATTCAAGCGTAGCCTCCACATCAAACATTTTTCATTAAAGATGATTCCTAGCACAAAAGTCAACGAAATGGATGATTTGTTCACAAGTGTATCCGGGGGCGAAGGCCCAAAGAAAACGAAAATCTCGTCGGCCATACGGTGAGATGTCGTCAATACGAAACGCTGCGTAGATGGCCATACTCTGGTTTCCGGTGTGAACTCCTAAACAGAACTTGAACTTTTCTTTAGAATTCTGTTGGAAATGGATATTCCACCTCCATTGGAGTTGTTTGCGATGGCGTTGATGTTAGCGGATTAGGTAG